TGAGTGAGACGAGGTTGTGACCACAGGGTTTAGCACACGCTGTAACTCTCACTGTTCTGAGCTTCAATCCGTACACACATAATACACGCACACACACACACATGCACACACACACACACGCACACACACACACATGCACACACGCGCACATGCACACACATAATGCACGCACACACACACATGCACACCTGCACATACACTTATAATGCACACAAACACATCCACAGGCGCACACACACACACACACACACACGCACACAAACACATGCACACGCACACACACATATACACAAACACATGCACACGCACACACACAGAGAGGGCAGAGGAGGAAGAGGAGGATGTGAGGAGACAAGTTGTTGAATGAAGTGGGACATGGAGTTTTTAGCAAAAAAAATAACATGATTGTTTGTGACACTCAGAGATTGGATTAATCAAAAGTGCTGACAAGCGGATGACGAAGACCATGTTTCTTTGCAAGTAAAATGTGTAATGTTTTCTATTAATCTTACTTTTTCTTAAACAATTCATATGACATGAAGATGTGCAGGTTATGCTGTTAGTAAAAAACATTTGGACCATAAAAAAATTACAACTTTGTATTCGGAAAACATTACTGTTATTTTGCTTTGGTTTTTTTACATCCGTGTCCTATTAAGAATTACCCAATTACTCAATTAGCTGTCATTTATCTCAATCATGGAAAACCATTAGAGCTGTAACGGTAGATTATTGATCATTGATTATTCAGATTGAGATTTACGTCATTATTGATCTTTAAATAATCCATCTCCTCTATATACAAAAAGATATAACATTGAAAAAGGATTTGTGTAAATGTCTGATTATTATTAGTGATAAAACAGTTTTGTCTGGAAATATTTGACTATTCAGATCTGCTTTACCTGTGTCAAATTTAGATGTGATGTGGTAAAGTCTATTGTGCCGTGATAAAGTCCCCAACATCTCCCTCATAAACAGCGAAGCATGAAGATGAGGATGGGATGGTTTAGGACGAGAGTGGACAGAAGGACATAAAAGTGGAGCAGAAGTCGAAGAGAACAGGAGGTTAATGTGGCACTGGGCCCTGCATGCGGCTGCTAAAATCCTTATTTAATTTTAGCATTTTATTAGGCCTACTGCTTTCATTATAAAGTTGATGTTTTGAAGAAAGCAATCATTTTCATTCTAGTTCTGTTTGTGTGACGTAACAGGATAAACCATATGGCCTGCATTCGAAAACATATGACTTTTAAATTCTGTTTATAGTGCAAATAAGTTATCTGAGTTTTTGTGTGGGTGTGAAAGTTTGCATTGCATCATCTGATTTTGCTGACTTCAACATTTATCAAGCTAATCTTTGAAACTTGTCCAGTCGCATCACGGATCAATCCTTATACGCATTTTGACGGCATTTTTAAGACGCAAAAGGACAAATTGCCATAGGCTAGTTTTGCTTTGATGGAAAACTAAACAGTGATTCTTGAAATGACTAAAAATCAGCTGAGAATACCCTGCAGGCACTCTCCATCCACCTCTTTTTGTCTATTGACTAACCTCTAAGGAAAATAATGTAAGCTTATGTAACAGCACGCAAAGAATGACCTCGCCTGGTTTTCAGTCCAACTTCTTATAAAGTCATTTCTCGCACATAGCTCAAGTCAAGTCATTACTATCACAAATCCTATGTCTCATTCCTGATCATAGCCACATACTTTCCCCACACTGACACACTACACTACGAGCGCTTCTTTAGCTCAATACCACCCCCTTGTGACGCTCCTCTCTCCTGCTTGGCACACTGACACCCAAACAAATTGGAATCCTCAATGTTGTTGTTTTTTTGTATTTCCCTCAAATGTGCAGCAGCAGTTTGTTTACCCGCTATCACCACATTAAAGACTTCAAAAGAAATTCGCAAAGGAGGTTACTGACACCCTCGTTAACTCAAAAGCCTGTCCCAAACATGAAAAGGTAACACTTTAGAGCGTAAACGTCCACGCATTCATTCTCCATTATACTCTAATCATGCAACCAATTTAAAATGACTTTCAGACAAGTCGTGGAGACATTTCGAAATTTAAAGTATTGATACGTAAGACATTATATGTGTGCGGGTTTTATTTGTATTGAGCAGCCTTGAATTGAGTATATAGAGTCTATGCGTGATGGTGAATATAATGCGAAACAGAAAGAGTAGAAGCAAATTTGGACTATTATAATATATGATTCGCGTACTGAATGCGATGATAACTTATCCAGCCAGTCTGTAGTTGTGTAGTATAGTATATTAGGTCGCGTTTTCAGAGTAGATCCGCGTTGCATGTTGTAAAAAGCGCGGAAAGTCCTTTTTTTGTCTGTTTTCTCGGTTATGTGTATGTCGGTGCTGATGCTGGGAGACGCTGCTTCTCTCCAGCCTCCAGAGCTGCTGAGGATGTGATGGCATTTCGCTGCGAGTGCGAGGAGCGGAGCGGGATTTCAGACTGCTATTATGTCTCAAAGCGAATGAAACACATGTAGTTCAGAAGAGAATACGCAGAAGAAAAGAGTTGTGTCAAAAGCACAGTTCACTTTGACTTGGATCCGCGGGTACAGACCAGCATCCTGCTTCTACTGTCATTTCTCCGGCGAAAAGTAAACGGCACACCTCCTCGACAAAATAAAGCTTTGGCAGATGTGCACACACTTAAAGCGTTTAAAACACACACAGAGACACGGCCGAATACTTTTGGTGACGAACATTTGAAAGTAGGACGCGAAAAAGCGACAAGCCCGCTCTTTGAAGCTCGGGAATAAGGAAAGAAGTTAGTCGATTCCAATGACATGTTGTCATTCACTTAGCGCTGTTTAAACTCCTCAAACTCAACGAATTGAGACCAAACCTGTGGTCGAATACGCGGGGACAGTCGTGTTATTATGTTGCCGAGTGTTTTTTGTCCGTGGCGTGCGGTAAACGATGGGAATAGTGGCAGCTACGTAAGCTAATATTAGCTGGCTAGGTTTGTCTCCACGTTTTAGCAGCCTGTTCAGCGGCGCCGTTTTGTGCCGAGCATTGGTCTGCTTGCTCTCACACAAATATCTTTCCTACACAGAGTTACAAGTGTTGTAAAAACACAACGCGCCCATACTACTAAATTAATCCCATTATATTTCTCTTACCTTCCGGCTTGTTTTCGGCAGCCATTTCCCCTTCACGCGCAACATCCTCCTCCTCCTCACGACCGTGGGTACCACGCGCGTGCACGGCGAGGACAGCACGAGGAGGGACCGGAGGAGCACGCGGACAGTCGGTCCGACACAGGACAACTTGTGATTGGCTCCGAGCTGTGACTGACACACGGCGTATTTCAGAGCAGCCCCCTCACCTTGGCCGAGACACACGCCTTTCTCTTCACTTTACAACAGTGACTAGAACAAACATGGAACCAACATATCACAACATAACACAGGGCAAAAGGCTCTCGTGCATGATTTAACCTATAGGATAATGTTACTGGATGTACATGTCCATGGAAAATTGGCCGTTTTGACACTACAAGGCATACCATTTTACTAAATACATTAATACAATTACATCGTACATATCCCTACTCAAACATTTCTTGTATGCTGTACTCTGTTAGTGATTCATTTGTTTGTTTTTTGTTTTGACAAAACACAAGATGATACAAAAACAAAGATGTGGAATTCGTCCAGTTTTAACCATGGGTATTTGAAGTAAACCTGGCATCTTTGTGTTGTTGTTTGTGTATTACTTCATGACATATTATCTTTCTTTATCTAACACATTGTGAATCAGGAGTTTTATTTGAGTGAATCAATAGTTTTATTTGAGTGGCCCCTCGCTTAGGAGCGCACAGACTGTGTGGTGCTGAAGGGACAGCTCCTCTGGTCCCTGTGCTGCCACTGCTGCTGCCTCTGCTGCCAATGCTGCTGCTGTGTTTCAAGTAATAAGCTATTATAATAGACCCTGGTAATAACGAGCTTCTTAATGCAGTCAACTTATTTCCCCACCCATTGCTTGAATTGGATTATCTCAGATAGAATGGAAATGTGGTGTTAATTCCTCGATTGGCTGAATTAAAATAGTTCTAATGAACCACTTTAGCCACTGGGTGTAATACTAACATTTGTTTGCAGAACATGAGGATGTGTTTTGACTCGCTATCTTGTAGGGGCAACTATGATCACGTATTTCTCATACAAAATATAGCCATCTTAATATGCGAGTATACAGCACATACGAAATGGAAGATTTCGTATGTGCTGTATACTCGCATATTAAGATGATTCTTTTTATATGAAATGCAGTTGTTCAGTTGAAAATGTTCAGGATAAATATATATAAAACACATATTAATACACATATTTGCAAACATACACATATATATGTGTGTTTGTGTGTGTGTGTGTGTAAACATAAATGTATACGTCCAACTATTTTTATTTTATTCTTACTTTAGAGTTATGCCATTGTTAATTTACAGTTAGTGTTGAGTGCTCCTCATTCTACTGTTCTAACGTGTGTGATGCAACACTGAAATTTCCCCACATTGGGAGGACAAAAGGATCTCTTAATCTCCATAATATATTTTTTTTAATTTTCATACATTTTTTTTTACCATTTTGACATTAAAAATATGTCTTTAAATTTCTAATTTTAGTATCTAAACAACAGTGACATCAGGCGGATTATCAAGCCACTCTTTCCTCTAAAAGGATTTTTTTATATTTATTTATTTATTTCCTATAGTCTGACCAGCCATTTGAGATAGTGTGATAGTATGTTTTTTAGACCTTATTATGACAAAAGCTGCTCAAAATATATAGACCTCTTTATATTTTCCTCTCTATTATATTTTTTCATTGATAGTATTTACGTGAAAAGCCGAAACGAGTGCACGTGTAGTGAAATACGCTGTCGTTTCCGCCCTCCAGGGGGCGCTCTTGCACTGAGTGGCGCGTCTCTGCAGCGGAAGAAGACATGACCGGCTGTAAACATGGCGTCAGCCTTGGACGAGGATGAAATCTGCAAAGATGATTTTTATTCGCTGCTGAATGTGCGGAGAGAGGTACGGACTGTATTCGTGATTCGTGTGGACGTTTGTGCATGTGTCCACTACGGCCACGTCATAAAACAATGTTCAAAGATTCGTCTGTTCACGTGTAATGTGACTTATATTCAGCCTATGACCCGCGACATTGCAGCTGCTGTGAGTGACTCTTTATCAAAACTCTACCTAAGAGCACAACAGGTGGTGACATTTGACAGCCTACCAGGAAAGAGAGACACGGAGTGGACGTTTTACCATAACTGATGGATGCGTTGAATTGAGATCACCAGATGATCACACGGCCTGGGACAATTTGTGCCTAAGTGTGGTGGATGGGACACGTTGTGAAATGTGCTTTATAGATTATTACCAATACATCATATCATTTACATAGAGATCGGGAGGGCGTAATATCACTTTTATTGTCCACAAAGTTATTTGTGTGTCTAAATTTAATTAAACTCATCTGATATGAATGAATCAGTACAACATCTCCATGTGGCTGGGGAAAAAGGCAACCTTAAGTACTTTACTAAACAAGAAAGGAAACGTTAACATCATAAACCGATAAAACCATGCACTATCTGTTATTGTAATATATTGCATAAGAGTGATAATACATTTGTCACTTTTTAAAATAGTCGTATAAACAGCTCAACAGAACTTTTAACAATTCAGTATTCCCCCAACTTTATTGAGCCATGGCACACCTTTTTTATTTCATTCATTTCAACAATCACATTGCCCATCACCTAAACTAATACAAAAACTCTAATAAAATATATTTTTAATCTTTTCACATTATTTTGACCTTGGGTGATATTGGATCCTTTCCAAAGCCACACCAAACAACATCCCAAAGCACACTGATTGCAAAACGTCGATCTAGACTTCATCAGAGTCTGTTGAAATGTGAAAGCCTGTTTCACATTTTCCATTGAATTTGTGATTTGACCATTTTTATAACGAAACAGAGCTTCCGGTGTTAAATGTATTAACTCTATGTACCTAAAAAAATGAATTATGTATCTGTTTTGTTTGTGCCAATGATATAGGGTTAGTCTTGTCAGATATATTTAAGTCCGATGTATTTTTATTTAAATGTGTTGGTTATTTCTTGCAGGCCACACAAGATGAACTGAAGGCATCATACAGGCGATTATGCATGTTGTATCACCCAGATAAGCACAGAGACCCGGAGCTGAAGACACAGGCAGAGCAACTTTTCAATCTTGTGCACGAGGCCTATGAAGGTAAAAATATATTGTTTTTTTGTTGTATAATAAATCTGAAACTAAATGGTTATGTCATCTACTAACAATGCAACTCTTTTAGTGCTTAGTGACCCACAATCCAGAGCAATCTATGACGTCTATGGAAAACGAGGACTGGACGTGGACGGATGGGAGGTAATGCACACATGTTGTCATTACTTTTACTCCACAGCTTCTACGTGTTTAAAAAAAAAAGCGGTCTATTTGGGTGATCAGTACAGCATGGATAATTGAATCTAAAATGAGAAGTGTTGCTGGAGTATTGCAAGCGCTCCATGAATACAGATGACGTACTTCCAACATGACAAGCTTTATTCTGTGGCCATTGATTGTCATATTTTTGCTCTGCAGGTGGTGGAGAGGAAAAGGACTCCTGCTGAGATCCGGGAGGAGTATGAGCGTCTCCAGGTGGAGCGAGAGGAGAGACGGCTTCAGCAGAGGACCAACCCCAAGGTTACAGCCACTGAATACAACTTAGGCTGTAACAAGTTCATTGATTGATCACAAATAAATATATTTTGTGTATAATTGGCAACTAATTAATTGATTAATTGTATTTTGGACAGTTACAAAGACATAAACATGCTGCGAAGAGCTACAACTCTGATAATTCTATCACAACTGCAGAATGAAGGTGTTTTTAACCGAACTACCCAATGTGTAACAAGGCATCTCTTTAAATAGTATCCAGGGGCATCACTTTGGGTGATGCCCCTGTATGTATAAAGAAAAAAAATCTGTTCACTGACCTTTCAGTATCATTATCAGATTTGCGTTAGGGGCCGAAACACAAAAACACTTCTTTCTCATTGAAGAGACTTACTTAAATGTTATGTTCTTATACGACCAGACTCCTGCTCATAGCATCTTAATGACACAGGATTTCCACTGTTTGTGACAATAACTATAAATATAGCTGCTATGACAGGTTTAGTGATCAAGGTGCGTGTAATAATTGTACGTATCGTTTTCTTCTCAGGGAACCATTAGCGTTGGTATGGACGCCACGGACCTCTTTGACCGTTATGAAGAAGACTTTGAGGACGTCGGGGGATTCCCACATGTGGAAATCAATAAAATGCACATATCACAATCCATAGAGGTAGATGGAGCATGTTTGATCGGTTCTTTAAATGATCTCTGTTACCGTGACTTGATAATAATCTGCTGGTCGATCCTCTACAGGCCCCTTTAACTATAAAAGATACAGCTATTCTTTCTGGCTCTTTGTCAACCCACAATGGCAATGGAAGTGGCACTATTAACCTGGCCCTGAGGAAAGTGACCTCCACAAAGGGATGGGGAGAGGTATGCCGTATTCTACTAAATCACATGTTGGCATTTCTGTATTTTAACCTTTGGTGAAATTCACACATACACTTTCAGCAAGGTTCAAATAGATTATGGGATCAAGAAAAGTCTTATCTTTTGTCACCCACCACTGAGTGACAGCTTTGCAGAGTCCATAAAATTGATCAAAAGATATTTTATTTGTTATTTTGTCCACCTCTAATTGCTACACACAAGAATGACTATTGTGACTATCAATTATAAATTAACTTAAAGCTGGGGAAACAAATAATGTTCAAAGCAGAAATGGCTAGCACTCAACAGTTTGGTCACGTTTTGTAAGACCATCCTCTTTCAGCCCATCAGCTTTCAGCCCTAAGAGCTAAATTGTGACTCACTTTCTTACAAGTATGCAAAAGATATTTTTTTTATAAGATGAAGGTAGCATGTTGCACTCTTAAGATTGCTATTTATGAAACAAATAGTTTGGTACTTCAGCTTTTTAAATACACTAACCCTAACCCTGAAAATTTCACAGTTGGAATTTGGAGCTGGTGACACACACGGACCTCTTTTTGGCATGAAGATTTTTAGAAACTTGACACCGCGCTGGTAAGCGTCACACCAAGGGCAGATTTATGCAGCCAGAACATATCTAATTCGAATGTCTGTTTATTTAGCTTTGTAACGGCTCAGTGCGGGCTGCAGTTCTCATCCCGAGGAGCGCGGCCTGGCGTCACCACAGTCCTGGCGCGTCACTTGGACAAAAACACAATGGGATATCTGCAGTGGCGCTGGGGCATACAGTCCTCTATGAACACCAGCATTGTGCGGGACACCAAAAGCAGCCACTTCACTCTTGCCGTGCAGGTGGGGCGCCAGACGGACAGAATTTGATCCCCGAGATGACCCCTGTTTTCATCCTTTTCTCATTTTGTCTTTTCAGCTGGGTGTTCCTCACACTTTTATGATGATGAGCTATCAGTACAAGTTCCAGGATGATGACCAGACAAAGTTAAAGGGCTCAGTCAAGTAAGTTTCATTTCAGACTTTTATGTAGGGTTGTCTAAAGTATTTAAAAGTATTGAGTACAATAAAGTAGCAAAGTACTCCTACTGAAATTTGACATTCCTCGAGCTTTTAAACTATATCAGATAAACAAATTGTTGTGGCCCATAAAAAGTTTAGTAAAAAGGTATTTATAAATCATTGCTGTGGTATTGAAATTGGTATAAAGTATGTTTTCTCATTGATTTTGAAATGTTGACATCAAAAAAGTTGACAAAATAAAAAGTTAAAATAAAAGGTTAACGGTTAAGTGCGGCCAGTTTTGAACAGAGGTGGGTTTTGAGCAGTGACGTGAGGTTCTGAAGTGAATCAAAGGTGTTGTGGGAGAACGCTCCAGAGAGTGGAGGCAGCGAAGGCTTGTTCCCTCAGGGTTATGATAATGATAATTAATTAATAGTTTTTGAACATTACGTGCACCTAAACAGACTGAAAAGAGGTTTTAAGGCTCAGCTAATTCTATAATGACTGTAGAAGTATTTTCAAACCACCCACTGGAACAAATCATATCTATGAAGATGTTTCCCATGGGCAGCACTTGAGCTTTTGGTAAAATGTCTAATAATCCCATATTCGCAGAACTTTTTGTATCTTAACAACTAATCAAATAATCAAGAGAGAAATTGGCCTAAAACTAAATAATGATCAATATAATCACTAATTACTGCCCTACATCTGGTTTCCAATGTTTTTGCTTCACGTGTTTGAGATCTGCATAATAAACTGTCCAGCCGGTTGTATCTCACTGTGCATATTCCAAATGTGACGTGTACATCTGCCGTTCCTCAGTAGTTGCCATGGTGTGATTGATGTGCTCAGGTCTGGCTTCTTTGGAACTGTGGTGGAGTACGGCGCTGAGAGGAAGATCAGTCGACACAGTGTCTTGGGGGCAACTGTCAGCATCGGAGTGCCTCAAGGCGTCTCCCTCAAAATCAAGTGAGTTTGGGCGCAACACTGTGTTCACAACAAGTCTCCAGTCGGGCTGTTTGCGGATCATTTAAGCGCCTTTGATGTAGAACTGTTAAGCTGCGAGTAAACACAACCAACAAACCAAAAAGAGAGAGACATGCTCAGAGCTGGGGCTGAACATTGTGATGGGATTTGTGATCAATGTTTCAATAGTTACGCACATTTAATTTCAATTGGTCTCAACACCTATATTTTAATGTAGCCTTGTCACAAAATGTAAATAATTTTAAGCAAGACTAAAGATTGAATATTTTCTGTGGTGTTTTTAAGTTTTCACTTTATGATGGAAGACTGGAGTATGAAATATTGAACTGAAAGTAAGGTTTTGCAAAGGGCATTATAATCTCTGCGATTTGTTAAAGGTAAAGTTCCTTATTTACTTTTTCATGAATTATACATTTTGTTTATCCCAATAGAAAGATCTTATAAAAGTAAAAAAGCTGTGAATAACCCAGACCATATTGTGTAAGTCACTATTCGACTCTTTCCATCAGCAATTTTCCAACTGGAGCATTACACACAAAAACAAAAGAAATATTGTACATCAACATTTGTGTTACAAATTACTATACAGAATTCACAAACGGAGACAAAATATTTAGTTAGTCACAGATAACCCACCATTGAGGATGAGCTAAAATGTACACTTACCCCCACTCACACAATTATTGAATTGAATTGACTGTTTTGTACCTGAATGTTGTTTATTCCATTTCAGCATTTATTTATTCACACAATAAATCAACTGAGATGAATTTCCTAGCCCAACTTGGAGATACTTTATTCTCTCTTTTCAGCAGATGCACATTACATGATCTGTTTTTCTTTTCTCCATTCTGCATTCTTTCAAAACAGTAGTTGTGAAAAATAACTAGTGATTTGTTTCGCTTTTTGCCGCAGACTCAACAGAGCGAGCCAAACATACTTCTTCCCAATTCACCTGACGGACCAGCTGCTGCCGAGTGCCATTTTCTATGCCACAGTCGGACCGCTAGTTTTCTATGTCGCTATCCAGCATCTGGTTATTCGGCCCTACATGCGGGCTCAAAAAGAACAGTAAGAAGACAGGACTAATGCAGCGAAGCAAAATGGACATGTTTTCTGTTACTTAAAACTGTCTTAATTCTCTTTCCGAGCAGAGACTTGGAGAAACAGCGGGAGAGTTCAGCCTCCAACATTGCCAAGAAGAAACAGGAGGCGGAAGCAGCTGTGAGTGTCTGGCAAAATCCACTCTATTTGTTGTTTAAATTATTACTAAGGCAAAATTACATTATATATGAAGTTTATGGGAACATAAGGCTGCTGCATATAGTTTAAATCTACTCTCGGGTCAAACACTGTGTCATGGCTTTTTTTTTTTCAGCTTCGTGCTTTGTTCACAAGGCTGTCCAATTAAGTCAATTTGGGCCCAGTTTATTTAAGTTTTTTTAAAAGTTTGATCTCAATTTTGATGTGTTACATATTGATGAATTGAGAGAAAAGAGCCATTGATGAAAAACAAAACATATATGAATTTAATTTTATTGTCTTATTCATTCCTTTTTGTCTGCTTTGGCACAGGTTTTGCTCATGCAGGAGTCTGTTCGCAGAATCATTGAGGCAGAGGAAGCAAGGATGGGTAAGGTTTCTCCATTTTATTTTTCACATCCACTTTTTTTAACTTTTAGCTAAAGAGAATCAATTCATTCACTACTAACAATGTAAATGATTATGATGTTGCTTTTTTTGTTATCTGGTCATTTTTTTTATGGTCGGTAATAGTTTACAAAAATAAGAGCAAAAATATACATTTAAGCTGGAAGTTCCCCCTCAGAGTAAGGCAAGGCAAGTTTATTTGTATAGCACAATTCATACACAAGGCAACTCAAAGTGCTGAACAAAATAAGACAACTAATAATAAATAATCACAGAACATTAAAAAAGATAAAAATATAAAATCCCTCAGTTGTATGCACAGCTAAACTGTCTTTAACCTGGTTTTAGGCCTGTCTCACATCTTCAGGAAGATTGTTCCAGATTTTAGCAGCATGAATCTGAAAAGCAGCCTCCCCATGTTTAGTTCTGACTCTGGGCACTAACAGGAGTCCAGTCCCTGTGCTCCTCAGAGTCCGGGCTGGTTCATATGGGACTAACATGTCACTAATATAGTTTGGTGCGAGGCTATGGAGAGACTTGTACACAAGCAGAGCTGTTTTAAAGTCTATTCTCTGAGCCACAGGAAGCCAGTGCAGAGACCTGAGGACTGGACTAATGTGGTCGTACTTCCTGGTTCTAGTCAGGACTCGAGCTGCTGCATTTTGAATGTACTGCAGCTGTTTTACAGCCTGTTTGGACAGACCTGTGAGCAGGCCATTGCAGTAGTCTAACCTACTGGAGACAAATGCATGGATAAGAATCTCCAAGTCTGCTTTAGACACTATGTTTTTGATCCTGGCAATGTTTTTTAGGTGGTAAAAAGCTGCTGATGTTACTGATTTGTTGTGGCTATTAAAATTTAAGTCTGAGTCCAGTATTACCCCTAAATTTCTGACCTGGTTTGAAGGTTTTAGGGAGAGAGACTGGAGGTGACAGATGACGCTCTCTTTGTTTCTGGGGACCATTTCAGTTTTGTCTGTGTTTAGCTGAAGAAAGTAGTCAGTCATGCCTGTAAAAAAAAAAATAAATAAAGAAAGAAAACAAAAAACCTTTTGGTCATGTCTTGGTTTTATCTCATTATCTCACTGAAATGTCCTCGCTGTGGGATGAAATAAAGGATCCTTTAATCTTAATCTAATTGTTGTCGTCTCAGCCTTGTGAATAGGCTGTTTTTAAAGCAGTGTTTTGTGAGTGCTAGAAAATATGTTAAACGTTCCAGTTATGCCCGTAGACTGTAAATACTATGTTATGTAATATTTGTTATGCCCCATTCCTCTTTTCAGTTTGAAAATAAGGTACCGCAGGTTTAAAGCACACCCACGGAACTCCTATTGTTTATTTTTACCAAAATGTTGTTCGAAAGGCAAGTGACACAATTCCCTTGTATCTGTGTTTTGTCAGGTCTCATCATCCTCAACGCCTGGTATGGAAAGTTCGTCACAGACAACAGCAGAAGAAACGAGAAGGCAAAAGTCATAGACGTCACTGTGCCATTACAGTGTCTAGTGAAAGATTCCAAACTTATCCTCACAGAAACCTCAAAGGTATGTCAATGGTTTGTGCTGAATAGAGTTGAAAATTCTGGGAATTTTTGAAGAAGGAAACTTTTCATGCAAATTAATGGGAATTTAAGGGAATGATAGGAATTAACTGAGAATCTTAAGAATTCAAAGGTGGCTCTTCGTGGGGAACTTAAATACAGTTGAAAGTATATTTTAGCATCATCTTGACTAAAACAAACAGATGCCTTTCGAAAACACTTCAATATTCTCAATCACTTGCACATGGCACACTGCTACTTAGACCACGCCCCATATTGACCCTATCCCTCCATCACATGTACAGAAGATTTCTAAAAGACTGGACCCTTTTGAGCTCAAATGTGTGCCTTCAGTAAAGTGAAGTAAGCATTGATAATATTATGCGGAAGTGTTACAAATGAATCTGTCAAAAAAAAATTTGCATGGATTTCTGGAAATCTTAGGATTTCTGTTTATATTTATGCTTGTATATGGTAAAATGTTCCACCCCTTTGCAGCCCTAATTTTGAAGAGCATGCAGGCTGATCACATGAGGCTCTTGTGTTGTGTTTTAGTCTGGCCTGCCGGGCTTCTACGACCCGTGCGTGGGGGAGGAGAAGAGCCTCAAGGTGCTGTATCAGTTCAGAGGAGTCATGCATCAAGTTCTGTCCGGAGACACAGAACCACTCAGGATACCAAAACAATGTAAGGGCTCCATGAGGGATGTCACGGTTTCAAGTGGTCAAGTTACAATATTAATTTTAATTGGAGGCCATAGGTTGCGTTCATGTGACATCACAACATTCCAAAAAGACCTATAGTTTGAAATTGTGGTGGAGGGCAGTTGCAAATCGTTTCTGGTAACTATGGTAACTAGTCAGATCTCTAGTCTTACTTGTTAGCTCTTTAGCCAATCCACATAAAGCAAAATCTGTAACAAAGTTTAACATCTTCTTACTCAATACTTATCAACTATTAACTATTTATTTAGTCATAAAGGTGACTAGATGATGATGATGATGTTGGCCAGTAGAAAGGACTTTCAGATATACACATCATGTGGTACATATAGAATAATAATTATGAGGATGCATTGGCACCTGCCCTTCTACTGAATTAGAATTCTAGAACATGAACGCAACCCATCATTGCTTTAGTTTAAATCGTGCTCCTGAGTATGTTGTTATTGACTGTGTTAAAATGGGTCAAATGCTATTCCACCCAAAAAGCGAGCATACAAAACATTCCGGTTATGAAAAAAATTGCCTTAATTATTTTCATTGAAACTCTTTTATCTCATGCATTAGAACATTCTGGAGAAAAGTCCAACTACGACTGAAATGTATAAATGCAAGCCCACTGACAACATATTTGATATATTTTCCTTTAGAAATAGATTTTTAGGCAGCAATCTTTTTTCTGTAAAAATATTATTTCAAGCGCTTTAGTTTTTTTTGCATGTGATCCTTTTATGATGTCAAACTATTTCTTCAAGTTAATACAGTAAAAATGGACAAAAACAATCTTTGAGAACAATAGATTCTATGATTTTGCTTCCATACACTTTAATAGTTTCTATGATTTGTAAGTGCTTTGAAAAAGGGAACCCCCAATAATCTGCTTTAGCTTTTCAGGGCCCTAAAACGGACGTCATGCTCATTTTCTTATAATTGTTTTTAACATTATGATGATCATTTATTTTGTGTTGGGTTAAAATTATAGAATAAATTACATTTGGTTGTTTTCCTGAGAGAATATATGTATGTATAACCTGCCCATCAATGCTGAAAGTTAATAATAAAAATGGAAAATCCTTTAAGGGGTCACTAAGAATTGTCTTGCGATTTTGACATGCCTGCCCTAAAACAATCAAACTTAAATCCTCCCCTCGCTTTACAATTATATATTTCGACCTGAATAAACACAATTCTTGACTTTCTTTACAATCTTGACGTCCCTATACTCTCTTGGTTTATAACACAAGCTAACATGCCAAATAGCTTCAGTTTCTGACTTTCTTTTTGCAGCTCACAGGATCGATGGTGAGACATAAGGATTCTGAAGCTGACCAAAAACCGTGTAGTCCGACCCACGTGTTCAGATTTACACGAACGGTTGTTACAAAGAACATGCATTTACTTTGTGATCTTTTAGTCATTTATACAGAGTGGAATATTGCGATCACAGCCGAGATAATCTATTCCGTGTTTATGGACCTGGTTGTGGCCTGTTTAAATTTATACAAAGATGACGCCATAATCAGCGCACACGGTTTGGATTTGTGGGTGTTTTGCCTGTGCGGGTATCAACAGATGTTCTAGCATGTACTATGTGATTGACTGCAGTGCCTATGTGATTGAATATAATAAATGAACGCACTTCTTTTTTTCTTGTAATCTGTGTCCTGTTCTTTCCCCAGTACCCTTTTTAATTTGGATGTCATTTCGCTAACTCGCAGGATCAATTATTAAGAGAAGCTGAGAATCGCCGTATACCTTAATCAGAATAGTCAAGATTGTTTATTGATGACCAACACAACATGTATATTTGGCTTTTTCAAGAACCAGTATTAAACAAGTTCTGTATTTTGTGCAATTTGTAACTTCCACCTTATTATGACATCTAAATCAGTGTTTTTCCGATGAGTGTGCTGTGGGATTTGTATGCCTTGAGATGTTGTTTGGTTTGCCTTTGGAAATGATCCAATATCACCTAATTGGTAATTAGAAAGCTTTGCCAGGTTTTCTACATGACTTTGCTATGATAATAAAGTAGAGTTTTATGTTTGTATCAGTTTCAGCTGGTGCGTAAAGGTTAATCTAAATGTTATTATTTCCCTTGGAGTATTTATAGTAATCAAGCTTGGATCCATCTATATGCTACAATGTGAAAAAAGTGACATTGCCAGGCTAAGTGACAGGTCGAGTCCGCTTACTGAGACCGGGTTTTTCAACAATAAAAACACAAGGTACTAAATATTGGTCAATACCATCACCATGGTAATCATCAAAAGTCACCTAGGCAGCCTTAAATGGTAGGAAAGTTATATTGAATTATCCATGTGAAAAATATAACATGAACTTATCTTTTAAAATGAGAAGTATTGTTGTAATGGATTCCCATAGTCAGGAGCCCACCAAATCACTTTTTTGTCTCAACATTATTGCTCACTCATTTTTATCTATCTTCAGGGGTCGGATTTTTGTCAGAAAATCTGAATTGGACATCAGAGGGAGCCCTAAAGCTATAAAGAATAAGACTATTTCCATACTTCATTTATGAAATTAGATAAGTAAATTGATGAAAAAGGCAAAAGAAAAACATTGTTGGAAGCTAGATCGCTGCCATAGATTTTACAAAAATATTCAAATGTTCTGGAGTCAGGCATTTTGTGAGCACGACTGTGGATTCTACATAAATAGTAACTTCACAAGTGATCTCTCTGATTTCACAAGGAGATAAGTGTTTGTAGATGTTGCCTGTTTCAGCACCGTTCAGAAGTGTTGTGTCGCTTTAAGGGCGCTCTAGTACTGGACCTTCCGCTTATTGCGTCATAGAAATGAAAGTGAAAGTAAGATGCGGAGAACATGATGAGGATCCGGTTGGGCTGGCTTTTTTACTGATAACCATATGTTCCTAGAGAGCAGGAGCCGTAAGTAGAATTGTTTTCTGGTTAAAATAAGAATATCTTTGTCACAACAATCTCGCACCCGCAGGAAAGAGGACAGTCATGGGTCAAGCATCCAGCAGCCTATCCCCAGTCCGGTCACCCAAAGATCCTGCTATCTCTGTAAGTATTTGACTAGTATTTAGTTCCCCTCCTGTCTCTGTAAGTATGTGACTCGGGACTATTATTTGTCTAGTATTTTTCCTAAACATGATTTTTATTTTGATTTGCATAAACATATTATCTTTCCCCCAGGTCGTAGCTAAACAGATTACCGTCTATGGTACAGGAGGCATGTCCAAACTAAAGCTCTCAGGCCAATTGCGACCCTATTGTCATACATATTGTGGCCCTAGCTCTGTCTTGCTAACACAAAAGTTCATGTATGAACTTGATAAATGGCTCTGATGTGAGATGGTAAACATTAGTAATTCAGCCAACTTCTGCTTTGTCAGACATGGATTGATATGGACATAGCATTCCTCATTTGTCACATTTGGCATAAATAGCATATCTCAGGTTGTGCAATAAGACAGGAAGAGTGCAAACAGGAAGGACATGTTAAAAAGATGGTGAAAAAGATAGGATAGAACAGCTTAGTCAAAACAGTTTAATGATATGGGTCATCAGCCCCTGGACAAGTCTGGTTTAACTAAAGTGGTCCTCTGACTTGGTTTGGACACCCCTGATGTACACAAACAACATTGCTTATATGTGTAGGCTATCGGTTTTAAGGCCGTTACTTAAACTTTTTTTTTTTTTACTGATCACTACGATATAGCATATTGCCGAAATTACATAAATTGAAACATTTACATGCAGTTGCTATTGTAATTTTTTTCAAATACAACATGAATCATACTAGGTAGAACATTACAATTGACAGACATACCATACAAAAATCATGAATCTTGTATGATCATGAATAGTTTGAATTAAATTGATGATTGAACTAGACATTCAGATGATCGCTCTTCTTCCAGGTGTGTTGTGTTCCTTTGGAGGTGGTGGAGGAGATCTTCCACAATCTACCTTATGGTCATGTGATACGTCATTGTCGTGTGGTGTGTAAAGAGTGGAAAGAATTGGTTGACAGTGAGTCTCTGTGGAGGGAGCGCTGTAGAAGAGAGGGACTGCTGCCCTGTGTCAAGACCCCTGACGACTGGAGACTTTATTATGTCATGTGCAGAAAGAGAAGAAATTTACTGAAGAATACTCGAGCAGAAGGTAAAAATGATATCACCATACTTCATTTGTAAAGCCCTGCTGTTGTGAAATTTTATAACACATTTTTTTGTCTTTTTGGCAGAGAGTCTTAAGTTTTGGAAAATTGTATCAAATGGAGGCGACAAGTGGTTGGCTGAGAAGATCATATGGGCTCATCCTAAACCTGAAGTTAAGGACAACTTTGTTACCTCCTATGGGTGAGAATTGAATTGTTGTTTTAGTTTGATTCCATAGAATATATATTCGAAGTGCACTGACCGAGTGCTGGCCTCACCTTAGTGTTTGCAGAATGTGGAAGAATTGATTTGAAAATAAGCAATCATGGGAATTTGCTCCGACAGCGTTAACAGGGGCAGACGTGTTGCTAAGATGGTTGATAAGGCCCCACGAATGAAGGCATCTGATTGGTGATATACAGTGCCTTGCGAAAGTAATGTATTGGATAATTTAAACTTTTTTAACAAATAAAAAACTGAAAAGTGGGGCGTGCAATATTATTCGGCCCCTTGCGCTAATACTTTGTAGCGCCACCTTTTGCTGCAATTACAACTGCAAGTCGCTTGGGGTATGTCTCTATCAGTTTTGCACATCGAGAGACTGGAATTCTTGCCCATTCTTCCTTGCAAAACAGCTCGAGCTCAGTGAGGTTGGATGGAGAGCGTTTGTGAACAGCAGTCTTCAGCTCTTTCCACAGATTCTCGATTGGATTCAGGTCTGGACTTTGACTTGGCCATTCTAACACCTGGATACGTGAACCATGCCATTGTAGATTTGGCTTTATGTTTTGGATCATTGTCCTGTTGGAAGATAAATCTCCGTCCCAGTCTCAGGTCTTTTACAGACTCCAACAGGTTTTCTTCCAGAATGGTCCTGTATTTTAACCATCTTCCCTGTCCCTGCTGAAGAAAAGCAGGCCCAAACCATGATGCTGCCACCACCATGTTTGACAGTGGGGATGGTGTGTTCAGGGTGATGAGCTGTGTTGCTTTTACGCCAAACATATTGTTTTGCATTGTGGCCAAAAAGTTCAATTTTGGTTTCATCTGACCAGAGCACCTTCTTCCACATGTTTGGTGTGTCTCCCAGGTGGCTTGTAGCAAACTTTAAATGAGACTTTTTATGGATATCTTTGAGAAATGGCTTTCTTCTTGCCACTCTTCCATAAAGGCCAGATTTGTGCAGTGCACGACTGATTGTTGTCCTATGGACAGACTCTCCCACCTCAGCTGTAGTTATCTGCAGTTCATCCAGAGTGGTCATGGGCCTCTTGGCTGCGGGTCTTGGTAGATTTGCAGTGGTCTGATACTCCTTCCATTTCAATATAATTGCTTGCACAGTGCTCCTTGAGATGTTTAAAGCTTTGGAAATCTTTTTGTATCCAAATCCGACTTTAAACTTCTCCACAACAGTATCTCGGACCTGCCTGGTGTGTTCCTTTGTCTTCATGGTTCTCTCTGCGGTTTAAACAGAACCCTGAGACTATCAAAGAGCAGGTGCATTTATACGGAGACTTGATTACACACAGGTGCACATTGGATCATTCAAAGATCCTCACTGAACTTCTGGAGTGAGTTTGCTGCACTAAAAGTAAAGGGGGCCGAATAATATTGCACGTCCCACTTTTCAGTTTTTTATTTGTTAAAAAAGTTTAAATTATCCAATAAATTTTGTTCCACTTCACGATTGTGTCCCACTTGTTGTTGATTCATGACAAAAAAATTAAAGTTGATATCTTTATGTTTGAAGCCTGAAATGTGGCGAAATGTTGAAAGGTTCAAGGGGGCCGAATACTTTCGCAAGGCACTGTATATGCCTGGATGAACGCCAGGATAGAGCGTCATATAACAGAGAATGCTAAACCACAGATGTTTTAAGCCCAAAATGTTGAGTGTGACACTACTGAGCCTGAGGAGTTCACTTTTCAGTGAATGTCAATAGAAGCCAGAGCAAGCAACATTTTGACTGTAAGAGCTTCCCTATTGGGCTTCATTGATTATTTTGGCAGTTTTCGTCCTCCATACTAGTGGGTTAGCATTGTCCATCTGCATGCAGGCTATGCTTAATTCATGTGAAATACTGCTTTAATGATAACTTTTAAATACTTAAGCATGTGCCTGAAGGCCCAGACGATCGATTTGGAATCTGAAGGATATAATTCTTCATTTATGGACCAGTTTCAACCACCTATCAAAATAACGGACTGGTGAGAACATCAGAACAATTTATTTACAAGAAGCTGTTTTATGTATCTTTTATAAGTAAATTCTATTCCTAATATGCTGTGTTTGTGTGCAATCCCAGGTATGCATCGCGTTGTGACTGCATGTATAAAATTGAAGTGATGTTGCTCACCCAGGATAAAAAGTGTGTACAGAAGTTTGCTCCACAGATTGTTTATCTCAAAGAGCAGGATAATCACCAGTGGTTTTCTGTACGAGTAATTACATAGTGTTCATAGTATGGATTTTACGAAGGACTTCTAGACCCAACATACACTTTGTGTTTCAGGTGACACATGTATTCAGGAACTATGGTCCAGGAGTGAGATACATTCACTTTTTACATGGAGGCAAAGACGAAATATTCTGGGCGGGATGGTATGGAGTCCGGGTGACTGACTCCTGTGTGGAAGTCTGTCCTGAAGACCAATGATCTCAACGAGCCTTGAAGTATTTCTTATATTGCTTTATTATTATTGACTAGATAAGATAAGCCTACTCAAATATGGTTGAAATACATGCCTACACATATGTGCTATAGACTGTATATATTAACGGACAGAGTCACGCCTATCTCCGCCGTTCTAACTAATGGGCCAAAAATAATGCTCTACTGGAGCTATCCAAAATGGCAGCGAGTGGTGTTGTGGTAATTTCCTTAATGATCCATGGAAACATAGTTGCATTTTGTGTGGTTTAATTAAAAGAAAAAGGACATGATAAGAACAAGCATTTGCAAATGGAGAAAGCTTCTGCAGTCCGCTCCTCGGACGCTGCATCAGTCTCTCTGACACACAATGGGATTCACACAAGCTTTATCAGGATGGTCCGGTCCCTCATTGGCCAAAGGCCACAGGAAAAACACATGTCACACCGCTACACTGGTTACATGTAACTCAAGGTATGAAGAGCAGAGAAACAAGGGGGGGTTAAGGGGGTCGAAAGGACAGAGGCAGAGGACACAGGAACAGGACACTGTCCCAGTCCAAGATCACATCATCTACATGATAATGGAAACAGTCACATCAAAGCAGATGGTCAATCACTGTGTAATAACTAAACTCGCTAACAAACTGCATCTTAACTTACTCAAACATCATCCCAAATACCTTCCTGCCATAAAACAAAGCCCTCTGAACCATTTGTAAATCATCACAATTCACCCACTATGCTTTAACCATGTTCATGTAATTTTTGCCATTACAGTGGTCCCGCCCACAAGAAAATTGTGAAAAAACGCATCTGCGCATTCGTCAGCCGGCGAGAGCTCCATTCATTTGAACGAGAGACTTCAGAAATTCACAGCAAGTAAACTAGAGTGGACCAGAAAAATTCGCCCCCCTCAGCATTGACACGGAACGGAGCTTTGGGCCAAGAGCCAACTTTTGGTCCATCCTGTAAAGAAGTTTTCGAGAGGTCTGCCAATGCTATATGTTAGCATTGACTAATTCTTCTTCTGGGTTCACCCCCATCGGCCCGGGGTGGTATTGCAAGCATGTCAGCGCACGTCATTTTGGCCACTTTTGAGCTGGGATCCGACCCCACTGGTATATGCCCTGTAAATATAATAAAATCCCCTCTTTTGTAATATTTGTGATTTTACTTATTTAAGTTAAGTTATACATACTTTTTTGTCTTCACTCTGCTGCTTTAAGGAATTGTAATTTCCTTTTTCTGAGTTCTATGTATGTGATAATGTCTGTGGATATATCTGTCCTCGTTGAGAAATTTGTCCTCTGCATTTGACCCATCCTGCAATACGCCACTAGAGCCTCTGTCAGGAGCAGTGGTCGCTACAGTGATGCACCCACATCCATCTCCATGTGTTGGTGCTCTGCTTGGTCAGGACCAGAGCTGGAGGGGACACCGGAGCACCTGGAGAAAACCTACACAGACAAAGAGACAACATGCAAGCTCCATTCAGAAAGGTCCTGTTCCCAAAGAAATTCGAGTACTAAATTCAACCATTTATTTCATCAATTATTTATTTTGGGCATTCATTGTTTTACATTATTTTATTCTAAATAGAGCGTCAAATAACACTATCCATTTCTGCGGCTGGTCTAGGGCTGGTGGCGGCGGCGCCTGCGGCTGGTCTAGGGCTGGTGGCGGCGGCGCCTGCGGCTGGTCTAGGGCTGGTGGCGGCGGCGGCTGCGCGGCTGGTCTAGGGCTGGTGGCGGCGGCGCCTGCGCTGGTCTAGGGCTGGTGGCGGCGGCGCCTGCGGCTGGTCTAGGGCTGGTGGCGGCTGCAGCTGGTCTAGGGCTGGTGGCGGCTGCAGCTGGTCTAGGGCTGGAGGCGGCGGCGCCTGCGGCTGGTGTTGGGCTGGAGGTGGCTGCCGCTCCAGTGGCAGGGACCTGCGCCTTACTTGCCGCTGATATCTCGCTTCATCTGTTTTTTGTACATCATTGTGGCCTAACAACAGGGATGGTGTCCAGTCAGGGTGGTTCTCCAACATCTCATATGCTGGTTTACCTACACGAGAATAATAACAACATATAATTAATATAATAATTTGCACAATCTATGTAATCAATGCTTTAAACTGGCAACTATGTCATGAACAGCATCTCAAGTACTTTTTAGGTCACCTCATAATGTCATATGAAGGTTTATGTACAACAGAATAATTAGATTATGTGTACAATCTATGTAATCTATGCTTTACACTGGCAAAGACCTCGCAGAACACGTGCTAAGTAAGAAACAGCCTGAGAGGGTAACAAAGACACAGAGACAAAGGCACTACAGAAACCATAATAACATATGCTAACCTACACTTCCTAGCTTTAAGAGACAACTACATAAATACATTTTTAGAGAACGTACCAGAGTGAAAATGCAGAGAACACACTCTCTTCGACAGGGGTGTGTGATCGAAAGTAAGGTCCTTTCTTCTAATTGCAGCCAACCAAGCAATCCGACGTCTCCTTGTCAGGTCAGAGAATTGCTCCCCTTGATGCTTTTTCCATTTCGGTAACCTAAAAAACTGTATCCCGTTGTTACTAGGTTTTCCATATCCATCATGGGAGGTATTGGAGCAGTTTTTAACGCAGCAGTTATTTCCAGGCATGATAAAACAGTGCGGAATAGCAAGAACCTCCGCTACTACCGCGTTCACAACACACGTAAACAAACTGTACTGCCGCCACCGGTGCGCAGCCAATATGTCGGCAAAGGGGGGATGGGGAGGGGGGACTCTGTGCCGTGACGTCAACTCCTCATTCTCAATAATGCACATGGGCACTGTGGATGTGTTGCTTTCTTCAGTGCCACGCCCCCTTACGTGATTTTCCGGTAAAAAGGAATTCTGTTTACGAGAAACTGAGTTGCAGTTGTTCTGGCTATAATAAGTACGGAGACACGAATCTAATACTATCTAACCGAAAGAAAAGCGACTGTCAGCAGCAGACCTTGTGATGGCGGTTTAGCAACTCTTTTTAAACAAATGTCTGTAGAGAAACCACGTCGTAAGTAGAATATTCTCTTTATTTACATACATGGGTAGCGCTCATGTATGGGATCAGCTTATATTGGGGGAAAAGAAAATAAAAATAGTTTTGAAACTTGAATGTTGAGCGGATAGATCAAAAAATGTTTTTAAGGGCAAAGTCTGTCTTCAGTGACTTCAATGAAAATCGATTTAAAATCAAAATCGAGATTTTACTTTTTTGCCATATCGCCCGGCCCTAGACATTACTATTCGTATTCGTACAGATAAAATGGCGTGTTTAAGAATAATAGTATTTTTCCCCACTGAATATATTTTTTACATACATGCTCAAAGAAAGATTATTCTTTTCCATTACTTAAATCACAATGCAACCCTAGAGGGAAATGTCATAAACTTATTGTTGAGCTATTGTTTATGGTTAAATTAATATTGACTAATCTTTGGTGTTGTCATGTGTGTTGTGATTGATTGGAGGAATACGAGGTGTAGGGGGGTAAAGGGGTAAACCCATAGACTGGTAAACCATGGATCTGGGGTAAACCCACCTCCAACATCCGGTCGTCTGCCTGGGCTACATATATGATAGTTATGAGAGAATGAGGCCTATACTAAGGACAACATCTAAGCGCAATGTACTGTAGCTGTAAACGTGGCCTCTCTTCACAGGGAAGAGGAGAAAAGTCATGGCGACAGCGTCCAGCAGCAGCAGCAGCTTGTTCTCAGTCCCGGCAGATGGGCCACTGGGACTGTTACCTGTAAGTATCCAACCCTCAGGTGTCACACACAAGGCCAAAGACACTTTCTGGCCCCTGAGGCTATTTGAAATTGTTAGGATTACTTGCTGCATTGATGGTAAGAAGATGTTATACCTCATTTTGATATTTATACCTCAATTTTGATGGACTATATTTTACTTCAGAAACTAACATTTGTGCCACAAATGCAAGCACAATACAACTAAAATACATGTAAAGCATTTTTTATAATTAATTAAAAAGCATGTGTCAAGAAAATAAAGCAGAGAGAAAAAGTTAGAGAATATGTAGTCTTATTGGACCCTCTTCAGCTAAAACGTCATAGTGGTACAAAGAAAATGTAAATATTCACCCCAATATTGTTAAGAAAATGTACAGGCAATCTGGGGGCCAAAGTATGTGAATTGTAAGTCAATGTACTCATAATCTTACTGGCCTACTAGAGAATCCTGAGGTACAGCTTGTTAAAAAGACAGTAGACAACATGTTTGCATTGTTAATTCTTTAAACTTTTCCCCCCAGGTTTCTGCTGTTCCTTTAGAGATCATAGAGGAGATCTTTCATAATCTACCTTATGGTCAGGTGATACGTCATTGTGGTGTAGTGTGTAAACAGTGGAAAGAAGTGGCTGACAGTGAGTCTTTGTGGAGGGAGCGCTGTAGAAGAGAGGGACTGGTGCCTCGCGACGTGGCCAGGTGTGACTGGAGAAAGTTTTACGTGTTGAGCAAAAAGAGGAGAAATTTGCTGAAGAACCCCATTGCAGAAGGTAAGTGCGCTCCATTCTTGTGTTTTTATTACTACATACACGCTATCCTTGTTCTTATAGGGAAACTAGACATGGGCATTCATGAGTGCCTTCAGCAGTAACCAAAAGTACATAAACAAGTACATTTGATTTATTACAGTTCAGTTTGTTAGACCTTTGAACCATAAAACTTACTGCAACTCAATGAAGACTGACTTAGTTCATATGTATTTCTCATCATGAGTCAGTCCATAACAATTGGACCAGGGCCTCCGGCTCCACCATGTCTGATTTGGACACAATTTTTAATGGTTATTCACCAAATTACAGTCATCTAGCCCTAGTCTGTTCCAAGCTGGTGAAACGTTGTATTGCATTGTTTTGAGCAGAGAAACCTTTTTAGATTACATAGAATTTGCCGTTTCCTGTTTCCTGTTAGTGCTATATCACAGGTGTTAAACACAAGGTTGACTGACTTACAG